GCCGTTTCAATATAATGTTACAATAATTGGCATTATTAAAACGGATCGTTAAATTATAAAACTTGAAATTCCAAGACTAACATATGATTTTATACCGTAGATTTATATTAATATCCAAATAAGAATGTAGTTGTATTTTTACATTATAGTGCACACTTGATAATTACTATCATTAAACTAAAATAATTACACAACTGTATACACCTCATATGTACTGCAGGTTATATATTATATTATAAGAATTTAATCCACATTAGATCTAAATTTGAAATAACAAGGTTTTTGAAATAATAAGATTACGCTTAATTAGTATTCTAATAATATAGAATTAACCAAAGTTAAAAAATGACAATTTTGTAAAAAAATCAAACATAAAATTAATATGTATACATATTTTTTGGATAAAAAATTAATATATATACATATTTTTGTACAATTTTTGGATAAAAGAAAGCATTTCAATGATTAGTATGCAATAGTAACTATTAAAAAGAAAAATTATATTATATTAACACAAAATAGACGCATGCTGTGTAATTTTGTGGTGGTTACAATTTTTTAACTTTTTGGCTTAACTTCTTCATAACTAACATTATATTTCGGCCCCATCTGTTTTGGTAAATTACTAAATTCCTCCAGAAAAAAATAAAGTTGGACAGCGAGCGAGCATCTTTAGGAACCGTTGACTCTGACCCACAATTTTTTTTTTTTGGTACGAAGGAGGCTACACGCCTAAATAATAACCGATCTAGATGTAGAGATACCCAACCGGTCGTGGGTCAACCATGCACTCGCTCCCGGGGGAGGATCGTCAAGCCTAAACAGGCCATTCGGCCCCTTGGCTGCCAGTGAAGCCAAAAAATCCGCTACGCTATTCGCTTCCCGATAGCTATGCTGAAGAGTGACCACCCAGTCCCGGCTCAACAATTCTTTTATTCCTCGACAAAGCCCACCGTGAGGTCCTAACTGGGAATCCGTATGAACCATGCCAATAATGCTTTGATTGTCTACTTCAGCTATCAGTCGGCGATATCCCAAATCCCAGGCCAACGAGAGGCCTTGAAACAATCCCCAAAGTTCCGCGCCAATTATTGAACAAAACCCCACGTTCATTAAGAAACCATTAAGCCAACGACCCACAATTTTCATCGTCCTCTCTTCACGTTGTTCAAACCAATTGATACTACATAAACCAGCCTTCAACAAATTCACCAATGAACATAGTTTTTAAATCCGGCCTGGTAATCGATCCGGCTAGGTTTTCGGGTCAACCGTCGGGTCACCGAGTCAATTGCTGAACCAAATAAATTAAATGTTATTTGTACATAATATGTATTTCATGATAATATTACCATATAAACATATATACATAGTTTCATCTTGAAAAAAAAAAAAAAAAAAAAAAAAAAAATTTAAAAAATTATGTATGAGCCGGGTCAATGCACCGGGTCAAGACCGGTTTGGCCGGGTTTTGACCGGGTTTGACCGGTTCCTTTGTTTCCCGGTCCAAATAGCCCACCCGGACCGTTCTGGCTCCAGGTTGGCCAGGTCCCTGGTTGACCCGCCGGGCCGGTCCGGGTCACAAAACTATGAATGTGAAAGGAAATTATATTTAGTGAGCTTTACTTATTTCCTTTTATGAATATTTAATTATCATTTATCAGTCAACAATTGTTCCAATTAATAAGGGGGTGATTGTTTACAAAATAATTTACTCACTTTTATTTCAACTCAAAATCTAACTCAATTTTAACTCAACCCCACTATCTTTAATATTATTCATATAATTAAATAATACAAACCAATCATACTTACACATCACATCAACTTTAATTCACTATTCATCCATTCACATAATTTAACTACCTATCATTTCCAATCATTTATCTCTTACTTTTACATCAAATCAATTTTAATTATTTTATTTTAAATATTATTTTAATACATTCTTAAAATTCCACTACAACTAACCATACCACCTTTTTCAAAATTAACTATAGTTAACCAAAATAACTCAATTTGGACAAATTATTTCATAAACAATCAAGCCCTAAAATTTCACACCTACAATGAGAGTACACACAAAAAATATCATTAATTAATATTTTCAAAAGGATTACTGTACTAATTTTTTAATAGAAAATAGTTTATAGTACATCCACTTTATAGTATACATTCTGTTTTTCATTCTTCAGTGCCTACTGATGAAGATTAAAATTCATCGCCATGAATATGCTAACGAGCAATATTGCGGGCACATTTGAAGCTCATGACATGCTAGGCGACACGATCGAGTATTCGTCATTGTTAATTGGATATATTGCTACTTGTGAACGAACAAGAGCTAGGTTGCCTTGTTGAAGCGTATTCAGAGAGAGGATGCATGCATTGACTCGTATTTATAACTCCACTTCACCTTAGCATCTGGAAAAATTGATCGTCTGAATGGAAATACGATAAGTGGCACTTATTTCATTACTTCATATGGGATCTTGACCAGTGAGACCGGACATGGAAGTCATTAGTTTCTGATTGAATTCTTAAACTCTTTATATTAGGATACTATTAAGGATTTAATCAGAAACTAATGACTTTCATGTCAGTCTTCCTGGTAAACATCATCTCGAAGCATATGATATTGGATCATTCTGCTACATAAAATGGAAATTGAAGAAAAAAGAGACGGAAATTGAAGAATAATTCTCATACAAAAATGGAACAAATCATTGAAGAACATGAAAATAAATAAAGGTTGAAGCATAAAACTAATCGAGAGACCAATGAGGGGCACTCGCTGATGGAGATTGGCATTTTCGACGACAAAGATTATTCGGTATTTGTAGCTAGCGACACCTTGTAAGTAATGATCGTCGAGCGATGTGGGACAAACACATTTCTTAACAAGTGTTACTAAATTTATTACAGGCAACCACGACGTTCACCAATAATTTTATGCCAAATTCATAAGTTTTGCTACCCAAAATCAATATTTACATTAACGAAAGTATATATTCAGCGTGATTAGTATACTATTTATTGCTACATTTTCTAGGTCAAAGATACTAACTAAATTACAACATGAAAAAACATATTTTGTTGTATAAAAAAAATATTGACAATAATGCTCACTCCATTCCCATCAAAACAATATAATTGTTGAAGATGGGGAAAATGCATGATGATGAAGATGGTGATCATAGCCCATGCAAGCTTGAAGTTATGTTATTTGTGTTGCATGTTTTCCTTTGTTTTGTTAAACCAAAGTCGTGTGACGACTCTTTTATTTCTTTTTGCGTCTTTTTTTTGTATGTTTTTGTTGTTATTTTATGTGTTTTTAAGTGTTTTATTTGTATTCGTTTTAGTTTATTTTAGGTTCTTCCCAATCTATTTAGTCGTTTTTGTTCATTTTTTGTATATTCGCGTCGTTTTGATGTCTCTTGTACTTTTTATTTCTTTTTTTATACTTTATTTTGTAGGAAAATTGCATTCTGAAGAGTTGAGTTTTCCGTTGAACGACGAGTAGTTGCCGAAAAGGCCTAGGTCTCGTGCCCAGACCCGTGCACCCTGACGTTTTCCTCGGCAAACTACATATATAACCCGCCAAAAAATCAATGTTGGCGGCCGTTGTCAAGACAACCCACAAGCGGCCAAGAGATCGAGCACGCAACGCGACCACAAGAGCTCTATCGCATAACTCGAGCTACAAGCAACTTTCCTCGTGCACTAAGAGATTTTCCATTTAAAACCTATATATATAACTCGACAAATAATAAAGATTTTCCGAGAGAATCATTCCCTATAGTTTTCGTTGTTGAGTCGATTCGTAAACAGCCGAGAGACCTGATGACGCCTCCCCGTACACTCCCCCGCGAACCAGGTCGCGAGTGTGGCCCTTCCCAGTAAGTGTGGATCATTATGTTTTTTGTGTAACTATAAATAGTCTTGTTGCATGCTTTTTTATTTTTGAACACACTTCTTCATTTCCCAACTTTTTAGTTAAGAAATTAGCTATTTTTCTCTCATTATTTCTCTCTCCAGTTAATGATTGGAGCTTCAAGACTTGAGTTATTCGACGAATTTCCAGCAATGTCATTTTTAGTAAAGTTTTGAGCTTTTCGCGTCTATTTCGTCCGGTCATGCAATAGAAAAATATCCTAGTTTAGAACTTATTATCTCATATTTGCTCTATTTTTGCTTACTATCTGGTTTGAGGTGAAAATAGCATCTTGGTCGGAGTTCGTGTAGATTGACTCGGTTTTAAAAATTTCTAGATTTCATTTTGTCTTGCTCGTCTAGTGCGATTAGTTGGTTAAAAGTTGAATATTTCAAGGTAAAGACCGAGACTTTGTTATAAGGTCATTTATTTCGTAATTGGATGTTCGACTTTAGCTTCTAGTTATGTTAGGCGTAGCTCGCTTCTCTTTATTTTTAGCTTGTTTTGAGTTTCTAAGACTTCGGTTTGTGTAAAGTTTGGGTCTTTAATTAAAACTTGCTTCTTTAGGTAATTGCTTTTCAGTTTCTAGGGTAACTAGTACAACTCCCGTGTATTACACGGGAGCTTGTTAATTTTTTTCTTAGAATCTAAAATTAATGAGAAAAAAGTTGGAAAATTTAAATACCTTTTATAAAAATATATATTATTATATATTTAATATGACATTTTTTATTTGTGCGACTTACATGTGTCATATTATAATATTTTTTTTAACTTACAACATATAACTACATTAAACATAAATATATCAATTGAGAAATAATTTTATTTTTCTAATGAATTTTATAAATATAATTATTTATTATTATTATGAATATAAATATAATTTATTTATTTCAATATATACAATATGGATGTCAAATCGAAGATCATCAAAAGATGATTAATTTGATATATTTGCTTCTTGTCCTCGACCTCAGGGGAATTCACAATTATATGTAAAACCGATAAGAGACACAAAAGTTATCAACTTTTAAAATATATTTACAATTCAATAGCTAATTGAAGGAAACAAATCAAAAGTCAGGGATATATATTAGTCACTTAGTGACTCACTATGTAAAATTACAAGAAATTAAAGGGTTATATTAGTATAAGTGATATTAAAACCTAAGTTAGCTAAATAATATTTATGGAATGTATGAACCTAGATTATTAATTATTAATATATCAATATTATTTGTCCAAACCTAATTACGAAACATGATTCTTCGCCAAGTAGGATTCCGAAGCACCAGAAGCAGCCACGTAGGCTCAGCGCATTCGAGAATTATATATAGGGAGGATTGCGTCTTTAGCTAATTGGAATCGTCAAAATTCAACGGAATTTTTAATGGATAACTCATTTCAACATCATAGTTTTGTTGGAATTTCCGTTGGAATCTACTGGAAAATTTCAATGGAAATAATAACATTAAAATATCCATTAGAACTACCGTTGGAATTCTATTGAAATATATTTTCGTTGTAATTTTCCATTGGAATTTCATCAAGATTATTGTAGTATGAGGATTTCGGGACACCCATCTTAGTTTCAAATAAAACCATTAATGCAATTTTGTAAGAAGTTGAAAATTAAAGAAATAGAATTTATCTGTTTATTTTTAAA